CAACATATTTAAACAACCACATGAGTGGAAACATTAGTCAAATGTAAAAATTAATTAACACAGCGCTGCTTGTGTTTATTCGTACTGTGTATACAGTTTATATTTTTTTTATACATATGTGACAGCTACTTTGTTCCTCTGGCTGCTGCTCTAATCACAATTTGTTGATGCATTTCTGTAGAAAATTCAAACTACAGAAAAGTGTTTATGCCTTACTGACCTGAAACATTATGGAGGAAAAAGGACATTAGATCTGGACAATATATCAATTATTGCCTGTCATTGTAAACTCACGATATAGCACTAGCAATTGTTGCTATGTCAGATTTCTCCCATAATGATTTCTGAAATGCTCAGTTTGACTTCCCATTACCATGCATGCAGTCCAATGTGATGAATATCAACTAGAAAACATGACGTGAGATTTTCCATACCCAGACAGATGGATGGATTTTAGGACCAGGTGTTCCAATTACTGCGATATTACTTTTCCCCATATTGCCCAGCCTAAAGGTAATGCCAGATACAGGGGAGATATACAAATATGTCAACCAAAATTGCATCTAAACCTAAACAGCAAATGTATATTTTGATGAGGTATAATACAAGTCATTTGACTATCACAGTATACAGAAAATGGAAGTTAAACAAAACAGCGAGCTATGGATGCTGATGATGATGCTACAGGTACTACAGGAGCACATAATTTCCAGTCTTACTTTCACAGGTCTTAACAGATAGCCTGCTGCTGTACGGTCCCAAAAAAAGTACAGCCCCAACGTACAGGAACGCAACAGGCATTAATAAGTTCAAGATGTAGCTTTTTTTTTTTTATGTAATTACTAATCTGACTACTAATCGGGCATATTCATGGACGCATCAACTAAATTACTGAAGTGTAAATGTAACTGCATTATGTTGCTTTACTATTCACTTAGGCATTAACTGAATCCCACAGTGTATATCTAGGCTATATGTTGTCTATATGTCTGTATCTATGTGTGCATCTAAGTGGAAAGAATATGACACAACCAATCAGGTATCTCAGGTATAGCTGTGTGATGTGCAACAGCAGAAAACATGGCCCAGGGCACAGGATGGGTGTTGGAGGTAGAACTGTCCTGGAATTCAATACGACACAATAAAGTAACCACAAGTGAGGCGAGATACGAGACAACACAACTCAACTGACATTATAAGGCAGACTTGTACATCCTTTTTAGATGAAGAGGGTGCGTGTGTTTTTATATACTAACTATTGCAGATACAAACACACAAAGGATGTATTTCTATAGGTCTGGATCATCTGTATTCAACTGCGTAGGAGTGTATGTGGGTTTGTTAATAAAGGCAAATAGCTCTATAATAACAAAAACAAAACTGTTCACCATTTGCTTTTTAACATTTCTCATCCTTGTCATATGTTTCATGTTTGTTTTTCTTGACTTGTTCACTAACCCCTCTGTACACGGCTGTCAGTTGTGTGGACAAGGCAAGTGACATTTGATAGCAGTGGCCTGAGGTTGTTTAGCTGCATTTATACACAAACACAAATTGGATGATTAACTCTTTGTTGTACAGGTCTGACCAGACATGGCAGTCCTGAAAGAGTAAGATCGGATTCCATGCAGTTTCTCTCCACAGTAAAACAACGACAAAGAAAATAAGGTGTGAGCCACATATAAGGGTTAAAAATATAAAGCTTTTTTGCTTGTGTGAATGCAGGTTTAGATCACAGGATGACTAAAGAATAACTGGTCACAGAAAATCACAACAGAGGCCTATATAGGTGATAAATTTAAAGTTTGTCTTACAGTTAGACAGACTCTTATGAATAAGCAGGTTGTTAAATTACAGCTGTCAATCTTTTGTCTTTTTATTGTCATAGGTGCCAGTACAGCATTTTCTGGGAACTGTAGTTGCAGTCACAGTAAGAATAGCACTGACAGGAACAGCTGGAGAAGTAGTAATAAGTGTTGTGGGTAGCAGTGGTTGTTTGCATATTCCATCTTTAGGTTTGTAAGAATTTTAAATGGTTTACTGACCATATAATAGAAACATAAGCGAGCAAGAAAAATGTTAAAAACATTTAGGGCAACAGATGCAAACAATCACTTAATTTGTGCCAATTTATTCATTTGATGAATCTGTTGTCAGAAGCAAGCAAGCGGGTTTATCAAAGGGAAACAGAGGTGGCTGACAGAGTTATCAGAGCCTTCAGCGTCTTTGTTTGTGCTCCACACTCTACCTGTCTTTGAGGTTTTCACATGCAACTGCTTGCACGGCAGTAAGCAGCACAAATTCCTTTCCAGCCCACAACCTGCCAGACCCCTCTTTACCTGCCTAGCACAGAGCACCCATACACCAGTCCAATCACAGCCGAACACATTCCCCGGGCCCTTGGTATGGCCGCACACGTTCGTACCTCCACTGGTGCAGCCTAGGAAATCCCAGAATTGCATCCTGGCAGTCGGCACACAGAGGACCGAACCTCCGCTAAATCACAGACGCCTGAATATATCCCTGTTCTGTCTCTCCACTTCCTAGTTGTACTGTATGCTGTCACTTATAGGAGAAGGGAAAAACCCGCCCACTAGCTGTTTCAGACACACCTGGGGGCTGCGCTTCATTTCCAAAACTGCCTCCTTCTCCTAAGCTCTCGTTCCCTTCGCTTGCCATCTTACCCACTACTCTGCCTCCCATCTTTATCTTTTCCTGACTGAAAACAGACAGGTGTAAAAATCGATCGAACATAGTTAATGTTGCTTTCCTGACCATGCCTCTTCATATTAGGGGAAGTAATGGGAGAGGAGGCTTAGGAAAACAGACGGGCAGAAGAGAAAGCCAAAGCAGAAGGCAAGCCCTTCTATTCATCTCTTGTATAAATAAAATGTATATATGATTTCTGCTAACAAATGCAGTTTAAGTGAGAACACAATAAAATTTGGACCACACATGTTAGGGCAGATGGCAAAGAAGTGATTGCTATGCACACGTCAGGTTTTTATTTATCTGACTGCAGATCTGTGTACAACAGCGGAACAAAGCCTTGAATCTCAGCACTTGCAATGGACTGGACATGCAATGTGGCAAACATTAACTAGGCTTTCAATAATATCTACACAGTTAGCTTGTGTTTATTTATTGGAAGAGATGTGACTTCATGACAATGCAAGGAAGTGAAATTTCTTAACAATTCACTGATCAAAAAATGCAGTCATATCCCTTTTTCAGGAACAGCGGGAAGTAGTAAAAAAAAAATTAAATTATATTTTCATTTTATTTACAGAAAAGTGAGCTAAGCCGTGCCAGGCTTGTATTCAAGTAGAAAAGACTACAATGTGTTCTCAGCTAGTTGTCGTCATTCATAATCAAATGTTCTTTTTTTGTTTACCAACTTGTCAAAATATCTGAGGATACACTTTTGGGGTCCTGACCCTCCAGTTTAGCTGCTAGGGAGGATGCGTATGGGGTTGTGATCGTGGGGCATCAGTCACATAAAGGCAGGAAACAATATGTGGAAAGGGGCAGGAAAACAGAAATCTGCAAGACATGACAGGGCAGCTTTGAATCAAAAACTCCTGAACCCCAAAATAGAAACAGACAATTCACACCCAGGGAGCTGCTGAGCACCAGGCTGCACACGATGTTTAGTTCTGGACATTTTAGCATATTGCGCCTAAAATTAGTTTAATCCCACCAAGCATGATAAAGGAGCGATTTGTGGTCCTAAAACCAGGCCTGGTTCAATTGTTAATACAGTTCACTCGGCCTAACACATCAATAAGTGTACAGTTGACAAAGCAGAACCCAAAACATTGAGACGCACAGGTTAAATAAGAACTGCCCTCCTTTTGTCTGAAAACCCACTGCTTGCAACAATAAAGTCTGAATCTGGGCAACTCGTTATTCATCAAAACACATTTGTTTTGCCACGGCGTTGTTACTCTGCATGACAGAAATCCTCCTTGGTTTAGACCTTTGCACCTATAAGCGGAGAAACAGAGAGGAGTGGTTTCGGCCACTGCACCACTGTCTGTCTGTTAGGAATACAAATTACATAGCGGTGTCTAAATGACCAGCATTTCACAACATTCAGTCCACGATATTTTACCATAAATCCTAACACAAGCTCATAACAACACCACCCTCACGCAATGCATTCGCGTTAACCCCATTGTGTTACCCCCTTTAATGCTAAGCTAGCTCGGCTAACGGTGGGCTATTCCCATTTAATCCGCCCCCCAGAGGGATCAATACTCACCCGCTTTAGACCGGGAGCCCGACCGCAACTACTCCCCGCAACCGGCCCCCTCTTCCAGCCAGTAAGTTTTAATTTTTTTATATATATACCCGTTAATATCAGAGCCGGCTTGGTGGCTGTACCTCTCCGTTATGAGTCCCTCTCCCTGTCTGTTTTTGTCCACAACAGCGCCGTGCCCGGTGGTCGGCGTCCACTGACGCGAGCTGCTAGCACTGCTGCTGCTGGAGCCTCTTCCAACATGGCTGCAGCTGGCGGGGCTCACTGACAGGAGGAGAGGGGCCCTACGTTTTCGACAGGTACTACTGCAAGGGTCCCCGAGTGGTTTTTATGTAACACCCCCAGTTTCACAATATCCTCCATTTATTTTATATTAGGCAGTTACTGAGGGCAAAGCAATCAAATTTCAGTTCATTACTTTACACTGTATAGTGCGTTGTCAAATTGATGATTGTGTTTAGGGTGCTTGTAGTGGTTAAACAGGAAATAATGCTTTTATGAAACGATGGATATTTATTGTTAGGCTACTGTTCCATCACTTTTTGCTTGAATATTAAATTATTGCTATCAACTCTAACAGTTTTTGGGGTCCCCAAGAGAAAGGTCCATTCGCCAGAAATGTCAAGGCTCAATTTATTTATCCATAAAATCATGGATGTTTCAGTGTTCACATAATAATGAACCAAATAAACCAATGCTGACTACAGAACAAAAAGAAATAAATTGCCATGAAATCCAAAACATTGATAAAAACAGAAGAAGAAAAAAATTAAATTTACTATTTATAAAAAAGAGGACAGAAGTTGTAAAAGAACAATTTAAAGAATAGCATAACAAAGTACAATTTAAATGAATGCCTGTCAACCCACAGTGGCTTACATGACAAATTAGCATGATATATATACCAGATATAAACATAAATTAAACATACAGTGCTTTCAAACATTGACGGTAAGCCCTTAAAAACAAATACTGAAGTGTACATGTATTGAGCTTTTATTTTTCAAGAGCCATATGTGTGCAAAATGAGCAGTGTTCTTTCACAACAGACTGCGCAGTGTGAAAGTAAAACTGGCATCGCCACTGTCAAACTACCAATTTTTTTGTCTATAATAATGGCCTTTTGCCTCACTGGTGATGGAGTTGAATAAAACGTTGTGTAAACTAAGTTGCAGTCAGTGATTAAAAACTTCCTTGCTGTAGGTAAGAAGATAATTGTAGTGAGGGGTGGCAGTAACATCTATGAACAAAATAGTCATTATTTCACTGTGCAGAACTGAGTGAAGCTGAAATTGAATTGCCCTCCGCTTTGTCAGCCACACTGGGCTAGTAAGCATCCATCAAATCCACTTTATAGGACATATAAAGAAAGGATGAAAATGGATGAAAATGTGCAGGATTTAGTGTTTTATGAAGTAGCCCAATCTGCCAAAGCACAGTGAAATGAAGGATACCGGAGATAAGAACCCACTGTCGTGCTGGAGCTGATGTCTCATGTTTAAATGAAATCTTCAGAGATTTCTATCATAAATTATTCATCATAGCATCATAATGTAAGCCAAACAAAAGAAGCTTTGAATAGATGCACGCCTAACACACACACACACACACACACACACACACAAACATACACACACACACACACACACACACAAACACAATTATTGTGATGTTGATGGTGGCTGCCATTATGCTGCCTTGGATCTGTGTGTCTCCAATGTCTCGCAGTCACTGGCCAAAATAATCCATCTAGTAATGGGCCTTCACTCACAGTCCCACCTACACGTACAGTGCATTCATTGCATGTAGCTAATATCCATGCTCACACGAATGCAGACACACACTCAGTTCAAAGATTTTATCCACACAGCAGAGTGATGCAAATTGTGGTGCAACAGAGGGTGATTAAAACTCATGACATCATAGTTTCATGGTATCCGCTGGGCCACCAGTATACCCTACATTTACATATTTGGCCGTCACACAGCTTGGCAGCTTTTGGGAAAAACCTATTATGTTATGTGTAAAATGAATCTGTCCTATATAATTAAACAGTATGGGTGAGAAAGGAGAGGATATATCAACCTTGAGCCAACTGAAGATCACAGGTCCCCTTACAGTCTAAACTGCATGCAGTAAAACCCCACAGAGATTAATGTTGTGGTCAAAGACCTGTTTTGCAGGAGAAAATATATGTAATAAATATGTCTAACTATTTTGTGCTAAAGTCTGAAAATTCTTGAAACAAATAGAGGCTCAGGCAAATCATAATAATTTGAAATCAGTTGCCAGATTTTAAAAGGGGAGGCATGTTTATAGTATTGAAGTCATTTGGAGGGATTCCTGTTTTCAAGCACTTAGATTTTTTCCCAACACTCCCACTTTTATTTGCTGAAGACTTACACATTTTTTGTTTTACTCTCTCTTAACCTGTTAATGCCACATTAGATCTGTTTCAAACAATGAAACATATCTTAAACAGGATTAATAATTTCAAACAAAACTAAAAAAATGTAAACGAGTGTGCTCGTCAAGGTCCATGAGCAAGGATGTAAAAAAACAAGGATTTGAAACAAACTATTATACAAAGAGCTTTGATCCAGTCCTCTGGGAAAGGACACGGCTAAATATGAAACATAAAGAGATATTAAAAAGATCCATAATGCTGTGCAGGGTGAGTGATATTAAAAACTGAGCTGGGCACAAATTGGATTTCTATGTGATTTGAATTTAGTAGTCACAACAATCTGTACAAACATTACGGATTGAGCACAGTGGTGCCTTGACTACATAACCTGACTATTAAGAGAGGTTATAGACCTCCATCTAGTGGACAGATTGGAGAGGTACATTATGGTTTGTCAACACAGATTAAGTCAGCCTATTTCAAAATTACTTAACAAAATGGTATTTAGGATTTAATACAATGCGGTTGAGAACATACACATATCATCAGTTGTGATGGCAAGCAAATAGTCTGGTGGTTTTCTCATTGTAGCAGCAATAATTGGCAAGTGGTGAATTGAATCACAGAAAGAGACAAAAACAATGTTGATGGACAATACTGACCTTTGGCATGACAAATGTGAAGATTGATGTTACAACAATTAGATTACCCTTTTCTTTGAAAACAAAGCACTAAAAGTTTGCATGTTTGGGATGCCGCTCTTGAAGAAACTCTGTCTATCTATAAGACCTATATCTAGGCACTTTAATCGCAAATATCTTCTTTGTCACTTAAAACAGTACTCCACCAAGCACTGCACACAAGCATTGCACATACAATTACCAAAAAAACGAACAAATAGTTTTTAAGAAAGGGACAGAACAACATATCATAATAATTATTCCGCTCATTCTTCTTGTCAAAACCTCAGCCCAGTTGTTCAAAACGTTTAACCTGGATCAGAATGATCCGACTTTGGAAATCCCTTGTTCTGCTATGCAGGATCAAGTAATCCCTCTTACCTTTGTGACGTTTTTTCAAAGCAACATTGGATTGGATCACCCTGATCCAGATCCAAACTTTTCAAGGTTACCAAATCCGGATTACCAGTGCTTTAAATTGGACTACATATCACAATTTACAGGCTACTAGCTATATAAAGTACAACAGGTAGAGTAGCCAGCGCGGAGTCACTTTACGTCTGACCCACAACAATTAAATTATTTGTGAATGTGGAACACTTGTTTTAAGTCTAAATAGTTAACAAATAAATGTTGAGACTTCTTCTTCATTTGTGAAGATACCAGCTTTTTGACGCCTTGCTTTTAGTAGGCAGATCTCAGAATCAGGGGCCGACTGGACATGCAAAAAAGGATACAAATTTAAGAAACTACTTTTAACTGGTTCACCTCTGATGATTGTGTCATTCTTATTAATGTACAGTGATAAGTGAGAGTTAAATACAGTATTTTAGTTTGATATTAATGGTAATTTGGGGATTACTTTATGTGGAGAATTTTTTTCTACTACTTTTTTTTTTTTCTGTCTACTTTATCTATGTTATCACTGTAATGTTTAAACTACCCACAATGCAAGTTGATGTTGTATGACAGTTGCTAATGTAGTCTCGAGCTACTAGCCCCAAGCAGAGATCAGGAGAGTGCTACAGAGGTCTGGTAAGTTCACTTTTCCACAACCCCAGATGTGTTTGATGTCCAAACATTTTTTTCTTTTTTACATATGTATTTTTATTTATACGTAGATTATTTACAGTAAAATGTTTATCACTGAATGTACAAGATATACTTACACGTAATCATCTGTTTTAATGATCTAATTAAAGAATTCCCAAAGTTGAAAATATTTTGCAAACTAAAATGTATGTCATAACACATTCCTGCAGTTAATAGCATGCAGCTGCCACAGTTGCACATGATCAATTCACATTCCTACAGTCATGAACATTCCATTTTTACACTTTGAAATACTTTATCTTTACATCTTAATCATACCTTATACATTATACAATTATACATGAGTACATACCTGAGTTTTACATAAACACATAATAGCTTAAGTGCTCTTGAAATGTATATTATGATAAATATCAGAGAATATCAGATGGGAGAAAGGGAGAAGAAAACAAAAGAAAGTAGTAAGAGACATGGACAGGGAGAAAAAACACATAGTAAAGACGGATACAGAGGTAGAGACATACAGTAACAGTTCAGGGCAGGGTACAGAGAGGTGAGGAAACAAAGAGCAGTTGGATGAAGAGACTATGAAGAATGCCAAGGAGAAGACACACACAAGGATTGTTAAATTGATGAAAGAATAAGGAGAGTTAGAGAGGATACAGAAGGATAGAGCAAAGTCACATGGATGTATGACCTGGATCAGCTAGACATAGTGCAGATGAAAGGGCATGGCAGACTGATGAATGAAAGAGACAGAAAGTTAAAGAGGAGGGAAGCTATCTGGGTGGATATAATGAGGTATGATTTGATTTAAGTGCATGGGATTTAGGGCAGAGTGCACTCTAGCATGCCACCTGAGTGGACTTTGAGGTGAGCTGGTCCATTTTACTGCTGGAAATACTCTCCATAGTGACATCAGTGTGCGAGCGCCCACGCTTCTCCTCTGTGCCGTGCGAGTGCGCTCGGCCGCGCTGCAACTCGTTGGTGTGTGCGCGGTTCCGAGAGCCATCGAAGGACGAGATGCTGGAGCTGGAGGTTGTCCGTGAGCGAAGTCTGGTCATGCTGGAACTGGACACTGAAGAAAGAGGAGAGACAGGTTTGTTTTACTTTGCGTCGGCCTCCAGTGGTCACTAGAGTTTATTCTGGATTTTACAGTGTTTCATGTTAATATTTTTTTTTAATTTCACTTACATAAATCAAGGCATAGCACAATATCGATTCAACCTACATTAAATCCACTTACTGTAATAAGTGCCTTTATCATTTTCTGTTATAAACACCCATGTGCTGTTACAATAACCCTCATATTTACAGGAAGTTATGTTTAACCGTAGGTTTTGTTTTTCAAAATATACAGAGGAAGATTTGTTTAGCTGCCATAACTTAATAAGGAGTGACACTTTCAGAGAAATTTGAGGAGAAAACTTTCAGTCCAGATCTGAGATGTAATAGTTAAGATACTTTAGGATTAAGTAATAGTGACTCACAGTATCCCATGCCTTGGATAAAATATTTGAGGGCTTCAATCACTTTGGCTGGCTGTGGAGAGAAAGATAAAAGTATTAAATACATTCCCAGCCAATCAGGAGTGCATATTCTACATTATTGCCAGCGGTTTAGCCAATGAAATGTCACAGCCTACCTGATCCACCTGAGGAAGTCCTCCACAGTCCGCCATCTGGAAGAGCAATCAATTATTATTAGCATCAAATATTATATGGAAATATCTATTTAAAAAGAAACATTTAGTTGTTTGCATTTTGTTGTTAGGTTACCTTGAGCAGTGTGGTCTTTGTGGGGTTGAGTTTAGAGTTGCATTCGACCACAGCCTCCACAGCTGGGGAATTATCTCCTACAACCAGCAGAGTGGAGCACCTGTAAACCAACAGACAGGCAGGTGAAATTGGCCGAAATACTAAGACGAATAGTAAGGATTGACCGAGCCTGATGAGTGAGTAGTAATGAGCAGCTTAAGGTCCGAGGCTCCAGGTAAGTTCAACTGTCTTAATTACAAAACGACCACAGTGATTGAATTAGCGTTCTAATTACATTTCAGCTTTTACAAACAATACAATTTCTACCATGAATAAGGACCATTATAATACATAAAAAACATCACACTATTCATTTTCAAGACCCTTTCAAGATATACCCTCTTTAAAGGTCAATGGTTGTACTAACTTGAGGGTCCTGGCATTGATGGTTCCTCCAGGAACAGGCCTCTCCACCTCCAGAACAGTGCGGTTGTTGTAGGAGCGGAAAAACTGACTGACGTTGGACTGGTTCATCGTTGCTGTGATGTGGTGACGGTACGTAGCTATGAGGTCATGGTTGGTCTGGATCTCATCCTGGAAAATCAGTTTGAAGGTAAGACAGAGATATTCTTGTATTCTACAGTATGGAAGACACACTTGATATTTGACTGATCACTTTTATTGGTATGGTAAATGAAGCCAATCATTGTTGAGGAAGCCTGAAAAACTTACCTTTCCAAACAAGTGTGTGATGATTGTGTCCGGTAGAGTGTGGGTCCATTCAGTAATCTATAACACACACAAAACATACACACAATTACATGCAGCTACATTCAGAAAATAGCCTATAATGTATTTACATTACAGACACTCTCACTACTCTTTTTGTGGTAAAACAGGGACAAATGCTATATCAGTATCAATCAATACAGGTGGTTATATATACTGAAAGGAAAACAAAATTTGAAATATTTTTTGATCTTATTCAGTTTAAATGGTGGGAGATCAACACACACACGTGCTGCTGACCTTGTTTGCAACACTATCTATTATTCCTTCAGCGCAGGGATTGATGTTGATCAAAACCAATCCGTCCACCAGTTCAGGGTGATTCAGCTACAAATCACACACACGCACACACACACACACACACGCACAAGAGCAGTTAGTGATATGACTTCAACATTGCATTTACACTTATTACCATGTTTTTTGAATGTTCTCTAATTTCTTTCTTTGTTACAAGTATGCGTGTGTTTACAACATATTGTCATGTTACTCTTTTTTCTGCAGCCAAAGATTGTGCTCAGTTTTTCTGTTCCCTATCTAGAGATTTTATGGACTACATGGCTGCTGCTAGAGACTACAAAGACTAAAGTTTATCTGTGATTGTTGTATATGAGTGTTATAAACAATCTTCTGGGAGACATGTGTAATTGTATCTTGTGTAGCTTTGTATAGAAAAGCTCTGATCCATAACTCTGACATATCTGGTTTACAAATGCCAGTGAACCACAACCAAGTGAAGATCTGTGCTGAAAAAAGTGCTTATATAAACTTTATATTTTTCAAAGTAGGTGACAAATTATGTTCTCTCTCTGTCTCAAGTTCAAATGCGATTTAGAAATGAGATTTGAACTCACAGCGAATCTAGCCAGGATGTAGGCTCCTGCTCCAACTCCCAGTCCAATCACAGTACGCAACCTGCGGAGTACACAGCCAGAAGGTCAAAAATGAGATAAACCCTAGTATCCCGTGTAATTATGTGTGTTGAAAATAGCCTAACATTTAATGAAAGGACAACATGTGTTTGTTAAGTATCGGATTAACTGAGGAGTTTCAGGTCTGTCTTACCCAAAGTGTTTGAGGACAGCGGGCAGTGCTTCAGAGAGCTGGTCCATGGAAGGGTAGGCAAACCTGAGGGATCAGAAGTCAACGTATGCATCAGCAGATGTGGGATTCATTCACTTATAACTATCTAACTAACTCATATTAACAAATGGTATATTTATAGTGAGAGTAATAAATGCACTGTACTGACGCAGTAGGCAGAGTTTTGGCTCCTTCATGTTGTCCCGGGGCTTCCACGTGACAAACAGGCAAATGTCTGGTGATTTCATGCATGTCCTCGTGGTTGAACAGTGAGTCAAAACAGGATTTATCTATAAGAAGAAAGAAATTATAATAAGTCATTTCCTGTTTTATTTTGTAAGAGTCCTTCCTCATGTGTCTTTTTTTTTGTCGTTTTTTTTTTCCCATCTTCGTGTCAGCAGTTCAGCCCGTTCTCAGTGTTTTGCTGTTTCCTTAGAGGTTCTGCCTTATTTGTTGGACTTCTTGGATTTTATATAGGCAGGCCCTTCTGTTCAGTTCTCTGTTTCAGTTTCTTCTCTCACTTTAATTTTTTCATTCATGTATTCCAATAAACGTACATGCTGTAAACTCTTCTCCTGGTATTGGGTCCATTGTTATGTTGCACGTTTCAGCCAGCCGTAACACTGATATATGCTAATCTTAACTTGGATATCAGGGTCTTTATACAACTTATATTAACTTATTTTATATTTTGTTTGATTGGTTTTAATACAGGTATCTTCAATATCTATTTGCAGGATATATACATAACACTGTGCTATTGTGGGGCTAAGATTTGGGACTTACGGTTCAGTCCAACATCGTGAAATGTCAGGATGACAGGCCGGTGTGCCCGTGGAGTTCCTGTCATGATGCAGTGGACATTCCCATACGGAGTCTCTACGTGCTCCTCCTAAAACAAACACACTGATTCAGTCACACTTTCAGATAATCAATACATGCTGCTGTTTGTGTGATTGGCTGAAGATATACCTTTGACAAATACAATATTATTTTTTTTTTTTTTGAAGATTGGAGCAGTGTTTAAAAGCAGGGTGGCGCTGTATATCTCTTTGCTTTTGCACGAATATGTATTGAAGAGGATAATTGATTGCTGATTTAGCACCAAATCAGACGTATCAAGTCACTATAAACCATACCTCAGTCTCAGTTTTGCAATTTTGGTGTCAAACTTATTTCATATCATAAACTATCTTTTCTTGTCAACAAATGAAATTGATAGTCAAGATACAATTGTTTTGTTTTGATTTGACATTTTTTAAATGCAGAACACTAAACTATATACTGAACAAAAGTTTTTTTAAGGCCATTTTAATAGTGTTTCTTTATATGTTTTAATGTGAACTGAAACCAGATACTGATGTTTATAATATTACACCCAACTGACTCTGGGCTGTACATGTAGCCATACAGAATAAACCCTGGTGATATTGAAGTTAAAAGTCATTTAAGTTTGCACAAGGATTAGGTACAGCTGTAATAGTGAATCTAACCTCAAGATTAGCTTAAGCTTTGTGATAAGATACTCACAGTGATTTGGGGCTCAAAGACAGAGTCACACTCGTTGTCCTCCAGGACCATGGCTGCTGATACAGAGAAGACCACAACAGAAAAAAGATGTGCACTAGATGCAGAACAAATGTCCTGTGTGTATCTTTGAATCTTAATTTCCTTTTAAATTTTAAAGCAAATTAATTTGTATTTCAGGACACTGCCAGTCCTGCAGTAAGAAACAACCCGAGAGCAACAGTGCTTTATGTGTGTGACAGACTATTTGTTTGAGCTGGTTTATATATCCTCCCGACACTGATCTGTCTCTAAGCCCTAACTCCAAAATGGCTCACACATGGCCAACTGACCCCTTCCTGTTTTAATCTGACCTCAGGCTGCTGCATTCCCACAGAGACAACGCTGGATTTCTACAGGGAATTAACCTGAAAATCTACTCTGAAAAAGCATCTTAAGCAAAATATCCAGATGTAATGAATCACAATTATATCATTTCCCTTCTGGATTACTCGAGTTATGCTTATTAAATTTGTTTCTAGACATTTATTAAATTCAGATTTTTCTTTCAGCCTTAAATCATGTGTTTCTGTGTCTCATGCAGAACAACTGAAATGTATTCAAACCGATCATAAATTTCAGCTTGATTGGTAGGAATTGAAGTTAAAATCACAAGTAGCTTGTTACTTTTTGCTGTGAGATCGTCAGGGAAATAACAAGACCTTCAGCCAAGCCATGATCAGGTCAGCTGTCTAATCTCAGTATGCCATCTGCTCCTCACAGTGAAACATTCACCTCCCTGCAGTTCAGTGACCTTGGCCCTCCTGCTAATTTTGTATTAACTTAAGTTCATTTAGATAGCTGCTCTGATCTCTTGGTAAGTCATGTTGCTCTTTTTACAGCATTACAGATCAAATGAACTCAGATATTTCAAAAGTAAAGACTTAAGCTTCAAGACATCATTAAAAAAGTTCATTAGGTTAGTCTCACCTTGAAACATTGTTCAAACTTTATTTTAAAAGCACTTTTTAAAAATGGACCCGTGCATAAGCAAGCTAATGTCATTACTGATTCATCATACAACTTCCGAAGTGGTTCATGAAATAGCTGTCATTCTTCAATGTGAATAATTGTCTGATTGTAGCATTTAATTTCATAGCTGACAACCAAAAACTATTTGGTGATTGTTTTTGTATATTTCTCAGGGTTTAAAATTGTATTTTGTTTACAAATTCCAACAAAGTAAGAACATTGGCAGAAATGGAGGTCATGTGGACCTTTCATAGCAGTTTAAGGATTTCTGATTAAACCTTTCGAGGACATCCAGTTATCACTTCTCTGGGTGTAGCAATTCTTCAGAAGTTATAGAAAGTTAATAAAAGTTAATGAAGAAAAAACACTTTGGTTTTCAGTTCTATATATCTGTACAGATATATTAAAAGAGTGCGGTGCTTTTAAAGTGTGTATGATTAGACACACATCTGCAAAGTGCATCCTCAAAGGTAATGTTATTACTCTTAAATGATATTGTGTTTCCCTCAATGATGGCAAAAGGTCAAAGTTTTATGGATTAGCTGCAGAAAATCAGGGTGGGTAAATTAATGAGTGCTCTCCGATCAGTCACGTAGCCCTGAGCAAAACACTGAACCTTCAACACCGTGATGTCTGCATGTACAACAGTAATTGTCACTGGCATACGGGTTATTCCCCAGATTGATGCAATAGAGGTCTGGCAGGTGGATTACACTGCAGACAGTAACAGCTGGCTGAACGGAAACACAGCAGACCTTGCACCTTCTTTAAGACATAATGCCACCACTGTCTTGAACACAAATACACACAGCTAGATGAGAGCTGCGAGCAGCAGCTTTAATCCATTTAGTGGTGGCTGAACAGGAGAGGTCAGCAGATGGGTCTTACTCAGCCTCACGTCAGTCTGAAGCCATTTTAACATCACACTAACCCTTTCTAAGCTTTGGCCTGCTATTCTACTTCACCATTCACTGCTGTCCTATACTTTGTGCCACATGTTGTGTGATCAATGTATCACCTATTGTACAGAGATATTTGACAATGCCAACAACACAAACCTTTTTCTTGCTTTTATAGTGTGTTAGAGAGTTAGTGACGCCATTAATACTAAAACACCAGAATAGAAATACATGTCTAATACAACAACAATTTATTGAACGAAACATGATTCTTATACCTCTAAACATTTCGTCCCATATTTAGTATTTCTGCAGCTGGAATTTTTCCTGCTGTTTGCCTGTTGTTTTGATTTAAGACAGACTGTCTCTTGATCCAATAGCACAGTGAGCTTGTAAAACAGATTACGAGAAACACATTCAACCATGCACAATGACCTTGCCCCGTTGATGCCAAACCAACATTTTGGTTAGTTTATAGAGTCATATTTTGATATGAATAACTCCTCAGTCGGTGAAATGCATTTAAGCAGTTGTTAAGGGTCAAGGTTAAGTTACACTAGTTCAAACTTCAAAGAATAAAGTCATAAAAAATAAAGAGCAGATAATAACACTTAAAATAAAGTTATAAAGGCCTTCATCCCAGCTGACATTTTGAATTGTCATAGTACCAAAAGTACAGGTATTACTAATAGCATTAATGACAGTTCTGTTCAATTCAAGTGTGGTATTTTAACATTTCCATTTTGGGTGCTACGACTTCATCAATTTCTGAGGGGAAACCCTACATGCAATAATTGCAAGAAAGAACCTAATTCCCCACTCAACCTGCCTTGTATGAAATTATGTTAAGAAGTAATATTGATTGAATTAGGCTTAAGAAACAATTTTGATTCAATAATAAATACTGACATTGAGAAAGAAATGTAGCTTGTTTACAATATCATACTTGACATATTCATTTATTTATTAAATATAATTTAACTTTTGTCCTTTCATGAACCGACTTGAAATGGAATCACAATCATCTTTAAATTTAATTTAAAACACCACATTTGTGTTTCGAAAGAAATTCATGTAAACTGAGTCGTGATGAAAACACACATATGTTCTGTTGTTCACCTTCTGGATAGAAACAAGCACCTCTAGAGGATGTAGTGTACATTTGCTATCATGAGTACATGAGATAAAAAGTTTTTGCTCCATTAACTGATTTTTGGGAGATTTACTAAAATCTGAAATAATGTATAATTGTTACATCATATTGTACAACACTCAATTTGCGGCACAAAGATTATTTTTATTTAAAAAATAACAAGTGAGAAAAGCAAACAGCTCTGTTTAAATCTGACCCGCTCCCTGTCATGCTGATGCCGCAATTTCCCTCCATCAACTGTTACGCTGGTTTTTCAAGAGAGAAAGAGAGACCCACAACTGTCAGAACCCGCTTCTGTATGGCTGGTTTATATTAGGACTGCAGGATTATCATATAGGCCATGCCCAATTCTTGATTTTATAATTGGGATTGAAATTTAGATTTAATAGAACTACTATTGAGCTAAATGGACATTAAAAATCACCTACTGGCTGTCCATTTTATTGAAATAATTTGACATGTCACTTAGGATAATTAAGCCTACATTAGATATCACCCAAAAAACTCGCAAATGATGCAAAATGCATGGATATTTTTTTATGGGTATTCAAATCTAGTATATTACTTAAAGTAAATATTTACAAACTTTAGTCATAAATTAGCAATTTGAAGCAGCAATTAATCTAAAAAGTTACTGCTGCTTCCAACCAGTAAAGACAATCTAGAACAAACCTTTCATTTGTAGTGGGGGTGGGGGAAAATCGAAACAGCATTTTTCCAGGGCAATACTGCATCGATACAATTATTACGCCAATTATCGATCTTTTATTATTTAAATTGCACATTAGACATTTTCAGGCCACTAGAAAACTCAACAGGACCATATAGTGAACTGAAAAAGTGATATGAACAAACAGAGAATTTATCTATAAGTTTTACTTTGGGGACCTAATTTGAAGTTGGAAAAAAGGTAATAAATTGCAATATATCTCAATATATTTAAAGTCGCAGTAAAATCGAATCGCAA